GCTGAACCAGACTTGCTATTGCAATGGCACCGAGCAAAAAAACTCAACAGCAGCTGCTGGATAACATTGTTTTTCTTTTGGCTACATGAAGTAGTTTCATAACTCACACCCAGAGGACTTTTGGCACTGCTGCAGCTTTTGCAGCTTTCAAGTTTTGGCTTATTTTGGTGCATGGCTGGTTGGAAAAAAAAAAAGCTGCATGACCGATGTAACAGTGTATTGGGAAAGAAAAGCAATTCTGAAAGTTTAACTGTTCCCTGTTCTTTTTATGTTGTCTTTCTTTCCGTTCTTTTGTTGTTTTAACAACCATGTTACTCTTGCATTTTATATTTTCTTTTGCTGCCCAGTCTCCCAGCTACTTTCTCCCCAGTTCTCACCACTTAGGGGTGTGCAAAGAACCAGTCCCCAAGTACCGCACTGACCAGAGGAGGTTGGCTCAGCTCAGGGAGCTTAGAGCCAAGTTTTTCCTCTCCTAAAGTACACTCTGGTTTGACCAGGGCTGGCAAACTAAAGGGATGGAGAGTTACTCAAGAGCAACATTCCCACAACCTTTTTTTTCTTCAGCAGAAGTGCTAGAACCCTTGCATGGTCCTGTGTGCTGATTTACTCATTCTGAGTTTTTAGCATTCTTTAGACTCCAGGAACAAAAGTGCTGAACCACGGAGCAAAATTCCAGGAGTTGGCACTGCTCCTACTGCCATCCTGCCAGTTCCATGTGTGGGATTTCTAAGTGTAACAATTTTTCACTTGTTCCAGTAGAATTTTCAAACCAATCAGAATTTTGATACTCTGGTCAGAACTTTGGCAAAGCATTTTGTATCTGCACTGCTGTCCCATGGGATTGACCCAACGCTGCTTTAAGGGCACTGTAGGTTAGGAAGTTGTCAGAGACCACGTTTTGTACTGCACCATTCCTGTTTCTAATGCCTCCAACTTTTTTCTCAACCATTCCAATTCTAAAACACTCCAGGAGGTTTTGAGTATCTGCTTTTGTTTTGGAAGGGCAGGCACAAAACACCCATGATCCTGATCCAGATGTTGGTGAGCTCTGCAGAGAGGATATGGTTCTGTAGCTCCAAGGCTGGTGTGACCCAGGCCACCAGTGGCTCTGCTCCCCAGGGCAGTTTGTTTTATGTTGAGAAGAGCTGTCCTAAGGCTTTGCACACCTCCAAGTGTCATTTTGGGCACTTTCCATCTGTCATTTTTGTTCATCTCTCTCTGTCTTTCTTGATCTTCTACCACGAACGCAGACACGGGAACGTCCTCTGTTAGTACAGGATGAAGACAAACTAAAAAAGCAGGAGATACCTACTGAGACAGCTTTTTCCCGGCCAGCAAGTGAAGAAACTCTTCCAAAGGTTTCTATTGCAATTCCTGAAGAGCAGAAATCACTCAAAAAGTGTCAGCTGTACTCTAGCATTTTTCCTTCTCCACGTGTTCCCTTTATGATGTCCTTTCTCCTGGTCGTAGCACTGACTGTTTGGTGGCTGCTCTTTCTCTGAGTGGCAACAGGGTCATGTTGAAACCTCAAGACCAAAGCTCCTGAATTTCTTGGCTGTAGCCTCTGCTGCATCTTCCTTGTCCTGGTCTTTGATCTCCATAGTTCACTGTCCCGGGGAGGGACAACCTGCGACCGTCGTGTTAATCCTGCTGTGTGTCCTTGTGTGGCTCTGATGGGACCTGGCAGGAGTGGCCATGGATTGCCAGGTCCATTCTCAAGTTTCCTCCTGTGTAAAAGCAAATCCTTTGAACCGTGTTCCTGGTTGCTGTGAGAGGGCAGATGGGGAGAGCAAATCATGGGATCATGGGACACATTGGCTTCTTCGGCCCCTGTAGACTCCATGTAGGAATTGCTGGAGAATTGCTTTAAAGCTTGTTGTTTGAAATGTCAGATGTTCACAAGCTGAACAATGTTGGATACTGGTCCAAAAGAGGCTTTGCAGCAACCTGCTGAGTAATAGAATCATGGAGTGGTTTGGGTTGGAAGGGACCTTAAAGCTCATCTCATTCCACCCCCTGCCATGGGCAGGAACACCTTTTACTAGCCCAGGTTGCTCCAAGCCCCATCCAACCTGGCCTTAGACACTTCCAGGCATGGGGAGGTCCACAATCATTCTGGGCAACAAGAGGTTTGAATCTCTAGGAAGAACATTGGAATCTAATCCATAACCACTCCTTTCCTAGGAAACTCAGATTGGCATTAAAACAAAAAGTGCTGGTTCTCCCTGCTGCTGATGGTGATGACTTAGGGACAGGGACAGGCAGCTTTTCCTTTCCCAGTGGGGGAAGCAAAGCATCCCAGCTTCCCTCTCCACCCCTGTTCTCATGTTCAAGAAAACACATGGTGTTACAGGAGAAAACCCATTGCAGGGAAATACTTATTGTAAACACAGGTTAATCATTCCTTGGAATCTGGTGGTCTTGGTGCACTTGAGATGTGTTTTGTTTGATGTGTGTGGAACTAACCAATGCATGATGAGGTCACAGGGATGGAGTAACCTGCTGCCAGGTACATTCCCTCTGTTGGCACGTTGACTTGGCCACATCAGGACACACTTGTGACAGGTACATTCCCTCTGTTGGCACGTTGGCTTGGCCACATCAGGACACACTGTGTTAAAGCCCTCGATTGTTTTGACTCTCTAACCAAACCTTTGCATGCAGCTCTGTGTTTATTGCCTACAGTGTAAATGTCTGGATGATGCTCCTGTTTATCCCAGTTATCCTGGCTGAGCTGTGCAGGCTCCAGCCCAGCTGGGCTGAGCAGAACTGGTTTGTGAGCTGGAGAGAAGGTGGGACTTTGTGTCTGAGGGGTTTCTTTGCTGTATATAGTAATGCTGGGGCTGAGCTGAGCCCCCTGAGTCTCCTTTCAGCA